CATTTCTGGCTTAATGATATTCATTTTGCAAAAAGAAAACGACTAAATACGTATCAAGCAAAGGCTCTAAAAATAACTCTATGCAACAAATTAGGTTTATATACTAATTATTAAAGAACTTATTTATTTATTGATTATATTTAGTGATAAAAATTACAACTAGGTATAATTATATTACAATTCTCTGATTAACTATTATAACTCTGTCACAATTTTCTGATTGATTTTTGCAAGCTACAACTAGCTGAGAAGTTATTTTTAGTTATATTCTGATTATACTTACAATAACTTTAGCCATTATAATTTATGTAACAAGTAGTATTATTTAATCAGTAATGAAATTTATCTCATTCAATTAAAACTTGGAGAAAATTAGTAAATACTTGAAATTTGATTCAAGAAAAATGATTTGCTCTTATTGATTTATGTTACATAATACTCACATAGGCATGAATTTTTGTTGTGATGCTGGAGAAATTGCTTTAATACATTTTTTAATTTGATATAATAAATAAATAAATGCGCAAATTTTTGATTAGCCTGGTGACACAAAAAAATGAAACAAAAACAAAAATCTAAATCTCTAATAAAAAATGTCGAAAGAAAATTTTACGTATCGCTTTAGTTACAAGTTCCTAGCCACGACAAAAAAAGTGTCGGATCGTGTGATTATAAACTAATCCAACCAATAAGAATGCGCAAAAATTATGCGCAACCAATATAAATGTAGCAAATTTTTGATCAACCCGGCAAAACAAATCCGGCACAAGAAAATAAGAAACCAAAAAATGCGAAAAATACAAAAAACAGATATCTAAATCTAGCTCGATGTACTATCAAAAAATGTCGGGAAGACAATTCTATATATAATCTTGATTTCAGTTCTAATACAAAAGATCTAATATTAATCGGATATTTTTATGGACCTATTTTAGATCACATGACCCGACACTTTTTTTTGCCGTGGCTAGGGTACTTTTAGTTGTCGGCACACATATGATTTGTCGGTTTGTTATCATGTGATCGCGAACCGAGTTCAGTATGCATGCTAAACCCAAAAAACCAAAGTGTATTCACACCGCCGGTTACTGTATCGTCCAATTATGATAAGTTCGGAAATTTTAAATTAATTCAGCATTTCCAAAATCTCGCTTTGAAAAACTTGTATTGCAAAATAAACTCATGATTCGTGAAGCCAGAAATATAATTAATGAGGTTTAGAATTAACTATGTAGACGTCAACTTTTATATAGCTAACAAGTTATAACGGGATAATTGAATCTTTTTATTATTGTTTTGATTGGAAAAATTTACTTTAGTACCCTAGAATTTACATGTACCAAAATTGATCTTTTATTTTTTATCTTTTCATGACTTTCAAATTAAATAAAATTTACAAGCGGAAAAAAGTCACCGCTTCAATTCGGTTAATTTTATCGTCATCAGATTTTAGAAAGCAAAACAAATAAAAAGAATTATATTCGAGAAGGAAGATAAAATGTAATGTAAATTATTTTTCTCAGCTAGTTAACGAAAACAACGAAAATCTAAAATTTCGTATATATTGACCCAATTTGTATATACAGTAGTGCATTAGTATTATTCTAGGTTAATAATATGCTTATGATAAAGCCAAAAGCCCAAGTTATTATTAATATAACTTCTGAATTTCTGTTAACATTTAGAAAAGAGCCAGCATTGGGTAAAATACTACTTGTTTTACTTTTTGTAGTTGTTGTCGGAGATGCTTTACTTGTAGTTGATTTCGTCGAAACACTCGAACTAGAAGCTTTGCTTGAATTTGTACTCGCATTTGAACTTTCAGTTGCTTTTGAAGTTGGCGAGCTTACTGTATTAAGAGAGTTGTTACTGCTTGGCGGTGTAGGAGAGTTGCTGTTACTTGGCCATGTAACCGAGATTATTGTATTAGGAGTGTTACTCGACTCTGTAAGTGAGCTTACTATATTAGGAGAATTGTTGCCGCTAATTGACGGTATAAGTGTGCTAATTGTATTAGGATAATTGCCGTTACTGTTTGACTGTGCGAGTGTGCTAAGTTGGTCCGTTGGTAAATTTAAATTGCTTCCATTCCCGTTGTTTGGTGAATTTGAATTGTTTCCATTCCCGTTGTTTGGTGAATTTGAATTGTTTCCATTTCCGTTGTTTGGTGACTTTGAATTGTTTCCATTTCCGTTGTTTGGTGAATTTGAGTTGTTTTCATTTCCGTTGTTTGGTGACTTTGAATTGTTTCCATTTCCGTTGTTTGGTGAATTTGAATTGTTTCCATTTCCGTTATTTGGTGAATTTGAATTGTTTCCATTCCCGTTGTTTGGTGAATTTGAATTGTTTCCGTTTCCGTTGTTTGGTGAATTTGAATTGATTCCATTTCCGTTGTTTGGTGAATTTGAATTGATTCCATTCCCATTGTTTGGTGAATTTGAATTGTTTCCATTCCCGTTGTTTGGTGAATTTGAATTGTTTCCATTTCCGTTATTTGGTGAATTTGAATTGTTTCCATTTCCGTTGTTTGGTAAATTTAAATTGTTTCCATTTCCGTTGTTTGGTGAATTTAAATTGTTTCCATTTCCGTTGTTTGGTGAATTTGAATTTTTTCCATTTCCGTTATTTGGTGAATTTGTGGGGCTTATTATGAAAGTTGCATATGCTGGACTAAATTCAGGAAAAGATTGAAAGAATTAGTAAGGCATATATCAAAATATTAATATTCTATATACAGTATAAAAATTGTTACGAATTTACCTTGGTACATTAGGAGTAAGTGAAGAAAAATTTGGAAGAAGATTCAGTAAATTTGAATTTGGACTTCCATTTGCATTTGTGCTAGATGTAGGAGATTGATAACTAATTGGGTTATTAGCAACTGTGGGACTGTTGCCTGTAATTGTATTTCCATAACTAATTGGTTTGCCAGTAATTGAGGGACCCTTGTCTGTAGGCGGTTTTGTAGCTGAAGGTTGTGGTTGGGCAGTTGGTGGCAATAGTGGCAATAGTGGTGGTGGTTTTGAAGCTGAAGATTGTGGTTGTACTGATGTTGGTGGTGATGGTATCAGCAGTGATGTAAGCGTTTTAGACACTGAAGGTTGTGGTTGTACTGTTGTTGGTGATTGCTGAGATTGTGTTTGTGTTGTTGATGGTTGTGGTTGAGATGAAGATTGTGTTTGTTGAGGTGATGGCGGTGGTTGAGATGAAAAAGTTTGTGGTTGTTGTGATGGTAAAGGTTGTGGTTGTGCTGTTGTTGGAATTGGCATTATTGTAGTGGTAGTTGTTGCGGGAGGATTATTTACATTTCCGCTCCCGTTTCCATTACTTACATTTCCGTTTCCGTTATATATATCGATATATATTTAGTAATAATTATTAGATCAAGTTGATACAGTTGCAAAATCAAAAATTTAATAATTAATTATATTGTTTCCATACTTTGGACCTTGTTGTGGAGAAGCGATTGCTTTTGTTACAATGCAGAATAAGTATAAAAATAAACAAAATACAAATAATTTTTTCATTTGAACTGACTCTTATTTTACTTATTTTTCAATCACTATCGTTATGAATTGTTGTTTGGCTATTTATACGACATTTTGATCCATAGAAAATTTTGTTTGAGACACTCCATGAGGTGGTGGTATAGTTCTATAAACTCGCTTTCTTGCCTAAAGAAAAACTAATGTGGTGAAACTCGGATACACACACAAATCGTAAAAAAATATTATATTACAGATCTCTATTTCTCCTGCCTATTATATTTCTCCTCACATTTTCTGCCACAGCTGCTGCTAATGATCACACAAAACATGTAATAAAGAAAACATTCGTTCTTCATACCGAGTAATTTGAATGATAGCATTGCTGTATTCCCCCGCTCATAAACAGCTATATTGGGACTCTTATTATTTAGCCTTTCAATAACTACACGTACATGTATATTGCTAAATACATGCACATGTACGTTCAGTTCGTGATACACTTCGAGGGATTGCATGCTGCATTCGTCACAGTTATACGTAAATGGGTATCGCTTTTAATTTCGGCAAATGCCGTAATTCATTTGGCTATCGCTCTATCGATCTATAAAATTACCGGCTGCCAAAAATAATTTGGACAATTTACACAGATGCCGAAATTAATTATACCTTACCATTACTAAAGAGAATTAACAATTTACGTATATCCATCGTTATTGTCATTTTGGGTATTTTATTGCAACTCAAGGGGAGTGGCTTTTATCGATATGGAAAGTATACCGATCCATTCTCTTTTGTTTCATTTTTATCACTGCTTGCAGTAGATCCTTTTGAGATAATGCATTATCATACTGTATTTTCATAAATATGAACATGTATTTGATTTGACTTGATATAATTTAATTTCAGATAAATAATGAATACGTATCAAACTACGTATTGCACGTGCTAGCTCAATTACGTATTAACGTTCGTGAATGTTTTTCCGATCCGAAGTTTATAAAAGATATCGATGTACAAATTGAGAAAAATATTATCGTTATCTTTATGAAATTTCTTTCGTTAACCTTTGAAATAAAAAAATTTGATTCGTTTCAATTATAGCAATAGCCAGTTATATTCTCCAAATAATTCACTCAAAAAAAAGTAGAATTTATTTTTGAAATTAAACTCTTGAACAAAATCAAATTCTACGTAAACAAATACGTACATCGATACAATCAGGGCTCGATTTACCGATGAATTGATAATCAAATTTCAAGATGCTAAATCGAGAGAATACCGATACTGTTACCGAAGTAACGTTAAAATATAACATGTATTAATTCTGAGAGAAAATCAGTAACGTATCTCATACTTTTTACTCTACACTAAAAAATAATTATATCATGCCTTTTCCGGAATATAACATTCACAAAACCCCTGTAACGTATCTCACATTAGTGTTCCTATGAACCGAACCGAACCAGATTTTTGTCTGGTTCGAAATTCAAACCGAACTCGAACCGGACTTTGGTTTAAGTTCAAGAAAATTTCGAAGTTTGAACCGGACTCGAACTGAACCGTTATACGAGTTCGATTAGAGATCGGCATATAGTATCATATACTGATTTGTAACATGAGCTACAACTTTAATTAAAAGTGTAATTTGTGAAAATTAAAAGTTTATATAGTGATAACTAATGTATTTTTATTTTTACAATTATTAAATTTGATTGTAAATACTATATAACTCTTCAAATAATTATTATTGATAGCAATCTTATATCAATTTGTAGCTCCTATTTCTAGCTACAGATTTACTTATAATTGTAGTTTATGGTTACTATATCAAAATAAATGTTTGTTATACCATAAATAAAATTGTAATAATTAAAAATATTTTTTAAAACCTATATAACTTTTTGAATATTCATCCTAAATATTAACTCTCCCCACGAAGATCCTAATTAATACGAACAAGATAGATTAACTATAATGGAATAATTCAAACCAAGATACAAATAAATATTAGATAGTAATGTAAAAGAAGGCACCATTAGCAATATTAGTACAGTCAGAAAATTGATCTTTATATTATTATAAATTCTTAAGGAAATTTTTCTATGTTTGTATAATCTCACTGTATGCATGAACTAATTGATTTTTCCGATAGAGACAATGGCAATTCATTTTTTTTACAAAGGCTGTTTGAAATTGATTGATTGTTTAACGTCTTCCTCCCTGAACATTAGGGCTGTTAAAAAGCTTATGTGAGTCGGTTTTTGCTGAGTTGCTTTTGAGTCTGAGTTTAGGCTTGGAGGGACCGTCTCCCAATAGTCACATGATAGATCAGATATAAGATTGGACTAAACATATATATACATATGCCAATTGTTTTTCAAGAACGAATTGACATAAATGACCTTGTTTTCGCTCGTAATGAAATACGTACAAACAAAAGATATTTATAACATATATAGAACGATCATTACCAAAACAGTTCAACAAAAATCTCTGGGGAAACAATAAGATTATTTATTTTATATATCATTATCAAGACGATTTAACAAAAATCTCTGAAAAAATTGGTTAAAAGTATCCTGTCTTCTTTCCCTGTTTCTTTAAAATGTTTAATTTCAGCTCGTCGATACTCACATCTTCCACAAGTTTTCCAGTTCCTGCATTTTTCACAATTCCAAATACATTTACTAGTCTTTTAGCTGAGACCTCTTTTGAAGTTCTGTCGAAAGTGACAATAATCTTGGAAAAGAGTCTTAAAATAATGTAATCATTAGTAATATAATCTACAATAAAAACCACTTAAAAAATAAACGTAAACCTGCTCTTGTTCGTGATTATCTCGATGTGCTTGAATCTCAGGGCTGAATACCGATCCACTGTTGTGGTAGAAAGCTAATGCTCTTCGCTTTCTAATATAGCTTTAATGGCTGCAAATTACTTTGCATTGCAAACTACGAGTGTTCCTTGCGAACGTGCCTTCTCTGCGGCAAATAACACTCTTAATCTTGAAAGAAACTGTCTTCTGGAGGAAACAACAAGAGCCTAGATATGCTGAAGAGTTGGTTGTATGCCAATATTCTAAAAAATAGCATAAATTAGATAAATAAGCATTCTCATTATGCAAATAATATTTTAGTTAAATAAATTTGCATTACAATAACTATTACAGGTGCACGTGAATAATATCATGTGTGCTTGAGTCTGTCTTTCGGACAGAACCTCAATAAAAACTCGGCTTCTGGAGCCGATCGGACCGAAACAGATTTTTGACAGCCCTACTGAACATTAAACAAATTAAATATCACGTGTAAATTTTCATCAAATTGAAAGTTAGCATTATAGCACAGCATTTTAAGCTAAAATAGTGATTTTTATAGGATCTCGTGATTAATAAGGTTTTTTTAAAACAAAATACCATTTATAAATCAACTTTGAATTGGGTTTCCAAAACTACAATAATTTTTCCATTTGTAACAGTCTGATATTATCTGACGTTTATGGTGAATCAGAACTTAAAAAATATGACATAAACGAGTTTAATTCTTCTTACCAATACTATCATATCAATTAATCTATAACCAATAAAATTGCAGTGTTTATTTTTCATGCTTGTTTTTTTCCCACCTCATAAACAATTATTAATCATGATGCACAATCGATGTTAGCAAGTGCAACCCCCCCCCCCAGAACTTGATTTGAACAGCGTGATGAGGCTATAAATTCGGATGTTCTATTAGTAATAACAATAAAATAGCTTTCTACACATCACTCAAGAAAACAAAGAAATATTTTTTGCACGCTTTTTTTTAATACTGCTATTTCCAAACACATACACAATATGAAATACACCACTGTATTCGCTCGACAGTTTGCGTTGGCGAAAACGCATTTTCGACTTGCACCAAAAATACAACCCGTTCGTTTACTAAGAGTCGGAAAAGCAAGCTCACAGAAGACTGAAGCAGAAATACCTAATGTTTTTCCATTATTACCATTGGTAACCAATAAAATAGCGCTTAGTGGATTTAGTGAGAATATCGACAGTTTATTTAGACAAAGAAAGAGTAATCTCTTTGTATCACCGCCACTAGCAACAAATACAACACTGATAACAGCAACCTTAAAATCTTCTGACTCGATGTCGCCCTTTCAGAAATATAAAAAAGTCAAACATCCTACTTTGTTAGTAATGAAGGGTGATACAAGTAATGTCAACGACAATGACGGTATAAATCGTGTTGATAAAAACACAGAATTAGAAATGATCACCTGTATTGTTCCCACGAACGAAGGTGAGATTAAAGATGGTGAAAGTGATAATAACGATAATATGACGTTAGCAATCGAATCTGGCAACATAGAAGATACCAAAGAAGATACGATAAACGGACAAGATACAAATAATAATGACAGTATAAATCGTGTAGATAACAACAGAAAATTAGATGGAATGATTATTTCCACGAACAAAGATGATTATAAAAAAGCAATCGTCACTGAGGTTAAAGACAATGAAAGTGATAATAATGATAATATGACGTTAGCAATCGAATCTGGCAACATAGAAGATACCAAAGAAGATACGATAAACAGACAAGATACAAATAATAATGACAGTATAAATCGCGTAGATAACAACAGAAAATTAGATGGAATGATTATTTCCACGAACAAAGATGATTATAAAAAAGCAATCGTCGCTGAGGTTAAAGACAATGAAAGTGATAATAACGATAATATGACGTTAGTAATCGATGGGAATGACGAATCTGGCAACATAGAAGATACCGAAGAAGATACGATAAACGGACAAGATACAAATAATGTCGACGATAATGACGGTAAACACACAAAATTAGAAATGATTACATGTATTGTTCCCACGAACAAAGGTGATTATAAAAAAGCAATCGTCGCTGAGGTCAAAGACGGTGAAAGTGATAATAATGATAATATGATGTTAGTAATCGACGGAAATAACGAATCTGGCAACATAAAAGATATCAAAAAAGATACGATAAATGGACAAGATATAAATAATGTCAACAATAATGACAGTATAATAAATCATGTTGATAACAACAGAGAATTAGATGGAATAATTACCTGTATTATTTCCACAAACGAAGATGATTATAAAAAAGCAATCGTCGCTGAGGTCAAAGACAGTGAAAGTGATAATAATGATAATGTGACGTTAGTAATCGATGAGAATAATAAATCTGGCAACATAGAAGATACGACAAACGAACAAGATACAAGTAATGTTGACGACGATGACAGTAAAAATATAGAATTAGAAATGATTACATGTATTGTTCCCACGAACCAAGATGATTATAAAAAAGCAATCGTCGCTGAGGTCAAAGACGATAAAAGTGATAATAATGATAATATGACGTTAGTAATCGACGGGAATAACGAATCTGGCAACATAGAAAATACGACAAACGGACAAGATACAAATAATGTTAACAATAATGACAGTATAATAAATCGTGTCGATAACAACAGAGAATTAGATGGAATGATTATTTTCACGAACAAAGATGATTATAAAAAAGCAATCATCACTGAGGTTAAAGACAATGAAAGTGATAATAACGATAATATGACGTTAGTAATCGACGGGAATGACGAATCTGGCAACATAGGAGATATGACAAACGGACAAGATACAAGTAATGTTGATGACAATGACAGTAAAAATACAGAATTAGAAATGATTACATGTATTGTTCCCACGAACCAAGATGATTATAAAAAAACAATCGTCGCTGAGGTCAAAGACGATGAAAGTGATAATAATGATAATATGATGTTAGTAATCGATGAGAATGACAGATCTGACAATATAGAAGATACGACAAATGGACAAAATACAAGTAATGTCAACGACAACGGTAAAAACACAGAATTAGAAATGATTACATGTATTGTTCCAACGAATCAAGATGATTATAAAAAAGCAATCGTTGCTGAGGTCAAAGATGATGAAAGTAATAATAATGATAATATGTCATTAATCGATGAAAATGACAGATCTGGTAACATAGAAGATTCTGTAATATTAGACTTGAAATTCGATTCCTGCATAAAAGACTCTCGTATTGCATATCCATTTTCAAAGTGTACGCGTGCTGGTTTTTTACTTTCTAATACGATTAATTTTTCAGATCTCTATCTCATGATTTAATTACTGTTGCGTTGCTAAATTGAGATTCATTTTAGAAGTAGCGGTAGAGATCATACATACACTGTAATTTTATTATATAAAAATGATACTGAAATTTTATTGACTAAATCTCAATAATAATTTGCATACTTTATATAAATTCTAATAATATTTTCACTGATAATATAATTTCATATAATTCATTTTAATTATTAATAAATTTCTATAATATATTATTTAGAAATTGTTAAAGTAATTTTAATATATTATAACAATAATTCCTAGTTATAAAGAATAGTTATATATATTACTATTATTATATAAATTTGATATATAAAATTAATAAAACTAATTAAAATATAAATAATAAAAAAAATTCTTTTTATATTACATGAAAAATTTGTTTATTTTGTTGTTTTGAAAATACTATTAATTTAATAATTTGTTTTTGAAAAACTTAAGTATCAATTATTATTTCGATTAAAAATATTATAGTTTTATAATTATATATTTTAATTTTGAGTTGCTTCAATAATAATTTTTATAGAGAGAAATAGCTAATTAGTAGTTTTTTTAGAGTTTATATAATTAATATTAATCGCAAAAAAATAAGTTGTTTTTTATTATTATAATTTAGCAATTAATTATTCTAATAATAATTCTATCAAACACTATTTTTAATCCAAATTATATTCTTAATTTACATACTACATATTTTCTTAACATATTATGTGTTAATATTAAATTATGTTTTCTTCAATTTTAAACTATATCTTGTATTTTGTTAATAAATATAATTTGAGAATATATAAAGAATTTAAAAACATTAATAAAAATTTAAATTAATTATGTATAATTCTTCTATAAGTAAATTAAGACTTGTAAACTTTCACTTTGTGATAATTATTATTTGAGTTGATAATTGGAATCTTTGATTCAAAAAAGATATTGATTTTGTTAATTAATTAATCAAAATGCTTTATTATAAAATATTAAGATCTTTAATTAGAAAAAGTATTAATTGTAAATATGAATAAAGAACTTGAATTAATTACAAATTCTAAATTCATTACCTAAATCTGAATTTATTTTTTCAATTTCTCTAAGTTATTATAGTAAACAATATTTATTTCTTTTTTTTCTTGGATGAGAATTATAAGAGAAAGAAAAAAGAATATGAATAATAAAAATAAAGAGTATAAATATTAATTTTATTTTTTATAAAATAAGTAAAATATTGTAATAACTAATCTGTTATATTGATTTCTACAAATTTCTTTTATAATGCTAACTTTTCAAGTAAGTTAATTTTATTATATTTTTTCTTTGGTTTAAGAACCAATTATTAATAAAAAATTAAAGATTAAATGCAATTTGTCAAGAAAAACAAATTTTATTAGTAAATAATACAGAAATGGGAAGGAATATTACTATTAAAATAGCTAAGAATAAATTATCTTTTGCTATAAGATGTATTAACAAGTAAAGAATGGTAAAAATATAGTTGAATCAAAATAAAATATTAATAAAATATTATTAGAAAATAAAAAAAGACTAATATTAGTAGAGTAATTAAGAAATAAGAAATAAAACAGAAAATATAAACCTATTATACAAACTTTTTGTTGTCATCAAACAAAAAGAAATCTAAAATAATGAATCTAGAAATATAAAAAAACTTGCATTATTTAGTGAAAATGTGAAGTATTGTTACATTTATTTTCAATAATTCTGTAATTAACAAATCTTTCAAAAATAGTAGAAAATATGAAAATCTTCAAAAATAGTAACAAAATAACAAATTAATAAAAATAGTATATACATATCAATTATTTAATAATCACATAATAATTATTATTATTTACCTTTATTTTCAATTTTTTCTACTCTTTTTACCTTTATTTTTTACCTTCTCTACTCTTTCTATCTTTATTTTCTACCTTTTCTACCCTTTCTACCCTTATTATCTACCTTTTCTATCTTTTATCCCTTTATTAACTATCTTTTCTACTTTCATTATTTACCTTTTTTATCTTTTCTATCTTTGTTATTTATTTTTTTTATCTTTGTTATTTACCTTTTCTATTTTTTTTATCTTTGTTATTTATCTTTTCTATCTTTATTATTTATCTTTTCTACCTTTACTACTCTTACTTTCTATCTTTTTTATCTTTTTCTATTTATTTTTTCTACCTTTTATATATATTTTTTTATAATTTTATAATGTAGATAGAATTAAAATATATTGACAAATTTTGTATAAATAGGAGTGCTCTTTTATGTTTCAATCACATGTTTTAATGCTTAAACAAATTAATAAATTTTAATCTTGATACAATAAGTTAATGAATATCTTATTATTATAAAATTAATATTTATTCTTGTATCTTTTTTTATCAAAACAAGTTACCTGGCAAAAATAATTTGTTAATTGAACTTCAAATTTCATAATTCAAGTCACTTTTTATAAATCTTGAGCAAGATCAAGAAATTGAATATTTGTATAGGATTAAATTTCTGATTATTACTTTTGTCTTTAAATTTGAAAAAGATGATTAAGTATTTTTGGATAAGTATATTGATTTGTTATAGTATTATTTTTGTATAGTTGTACATTGCAACTTTAAATAAGTAATATTAATTTGTATAGTTGTGCACTACAACTTTAAATAAGTGATATTAATTTGTATAGTTGTGCACTGTAACTTTAAATAAGTGATATTAATTTGTATAGTTGTGTATCATAACTCTAAATAAGTAATATTTTCTTTAGTTATTCATTTTCTTTGATATTGAAAGCACTAGAATGTATGACTACAAGTATAAAAATATCAATACTCTTTTCTTTAGTTAGTAATCCTTATTAATTAATTATTTCTTTGAACACACTCTTCCAACCTCTCTTTTCATCTCTGATAAAATTATTTAACAATTTCTATCAAAATTGGCACAGGCTTAGATACTTATTTTTGCACTGATCAATTTTATTAGTCTATTTCTTTCTCCTAATTTATATGACTCTTTTACAAATAGTAAAGAAATTCTTTATTTAAAGTAATCATAGTATATTTTGGTGCTCTCTTTGTAAATTCTTCAAATTATCAAACTCCTTTTTTCCTTTTATTATCATTTAATTAATATCTTTATTTTATTAAAAACCAATTATCAAAAACAAATTCTCTTTTTACAACTTCTTTTATGAATATTTATATTCTGATCTCTAATTGAAACTCTTTTTATGAATAATTATTATAACTTTATTGAAGAATCTATTACCTCATATCTCAACACTCACTTGGAAAATTAATGCTAAAAAACAACACTTCAAATAACTTAGTAATATTATTATCATATCTACTTTTCACCTTTTGATACAGCAACTATACTCTTAGCCAATTTTCTCAACTGAATTCAAAAATGAAATGCAATATCTGGATCTTTCATCACTGAATAATTATTTGAAGATATTATTGTAGCAGATCTTAACATTCTTGAAAAAAAAGAACTATGAACATAAGTAATTTGATTATTAAACATCCTAATTTATCAAATTGATATATAGTTAAATTATAACTCTTTCTAGTCAAAACAACACTTGAAGACTTTTTCAAGAATTCAAGAAAGACCCTAATTTATCTGATGGTTTTTTACACTGAAATAACTAGTAACACAAAAGTAAATTATTTTTTTACTGACAGTTATGACTTCATACCTGAATTTAATACATATTCTAATTTCTTAGTACTCCATTTTGAAATAATTATAATGATCACTCAAGCTCTTATTAATACAATTAGTGAATTAGTTCTTTCACTAAATCATAGAAACAATAAAAAGGTGATTATCCAAATCTCAAAATACAAAGGTGAAGATCAAGATCCTATAAAATGACTCTGAGATTTTGAAGTGATAGCATTAGCTAATTAAATTACTGATAATTAAAAAATTCAAGTTGTCCATGAATATCTTAAAGATGCTATCACATCATAATTTGATGAAATTTACTAAATGATACTGTTACAGTTGTAACATAAAAATCGTTAATTCCAAAAATAGTCGAAAAACATAAAATATTTAAAAATATTCAT